ATGTTTAGAGACTTCGCTCACTACGCCATAATTAGGATCTCCACGTCTCTTCATTTAATAGAGGTTCAAAATAATGTTTCTATCTCTTGACAATATCGGCTTCCTTCTTTAATACGTTTCCATTTTCATCTTCCATTTGTCTAATGTGTGTTGTCCGGGGTTTGGTATAATTCTTTGATTTTCTTAGATAGTCATGTTCACCCCTTTGTTCTTTTATGATCCTTTAGGTTTGGGTTAATCGAGGTTTGAATAAGATATACATAACAGTTTGTTCACTGTATTATTCAAAAGATATATACACAAATACACAAAACGAAAGATAAAATGTTCAGAAGAATAAGATGCCTTATTCAGTAAATACAGAAAAGAAATGTACAAATACACTTTCTGATTAATAATTTCCCAATAATGTGGATTGCAGGTCGGGCACTCAGTATGGGCCAGCGCCCACGAACAAATGCGAACTGTAAGATTTTTGGGGCGTCTGGTACGGGATTACACCCCACGACCTGAGGCATAGGTGAACTGATTAGAGAGTTTTGGACTGCTCAAGTTCACACAAATGTCATACATAGAGACTGGAAATAAATCAGTAAAGATAATTTCACTTATTTCACTTATATCACATACCCTTTTCGATGGGTAAACAGTGTAAACCGACTTCAAATAACTTCATATGAACAGTTGAAACATAGCAAATAAAACCATAATTTACTTACATGAAGTGAATGGGTGTAGAGATCGGAGCCAAGTGGCAGGTCGTGCTATCGTGGTCGCCGACGTCACTTTTGTTTCGGGTTCGTGAACCGTCGACGAGGATACGCAAATGGCTCGACCACCCGAATTCTCTCACACACACAATCACTCATTACCATTTACAGGGAAACCATCACCAACCCTTTACATGTGTATTGTCTTTGGTGCTTTTATTTCGATTCGTTGCTATACGAAAAATCTCCTCTTGGCCTTCTTTTGTTTCTAGCTCTTCTTAAAGCTGGTCATATGCTTCACATTTGGCAATTACTACAGTCTTCTTTGAATCTTTATTGAATTTTTCATAGAATATTCCACCTGCTTCCAACTGAGTCTCTTTTCACCTTTGCTTCTTTCTTGCGCTTGTCTTCTGTTGTATATATGTGTGTGTGTGTGCCTATATTCACACACACACACACACACACACATATATACACATACATATATATATACACACACACACACATTTATATATACACACATATATGTGTGTGCTTTTTTTGGTCCACTTTATATTATTGCAAATGCTACATATATAGAAACATACATTCACAAGGTGTTGTGTGAACACACACACAGGTATATCACTTAGTATAGAAGTGTGATAATTAGCTGCTGTTTCGGAAAGTGTATTGATACTGGTTTCATCTTTTCAGAACACCACTATGATGGCTGCAAGTACTGAGGTGGATCATGTCGCTCATGTTGCAACAGAGATGGGAGGTATTACGATCAAGAACTTAGTAACTAATATCAAGTTCATAGATAATGACAACAAGATTAAAATCCTCACCATCGGCCGGGAAAATACTGGTGCAACTAAAACCATTCTTCTCATTGGACAAACAGGATCCGGGAAAACCACGCTTTTAAATGCGATGATCAACTACCTTATGGGCGTTCAGTTCGAGGACAATTTTCGATACTCTGTGAAAGATGAAATAGGTGATGATCATCATAAGAAAGTTACTGAGAGTCAGACAGAGTTTATAACAGGGTACCACATCTATCATAAACCTGGCAAGGTACACGACTATAATTACCTAATTATTGACTCTCCTGGACTATTAGATACAAGAGGAAAGGAAAGGCAGGATGATATTAGGAAGCAAGCAGAATTTTTCTTACGAGAAAAAGAACTGAATATAATGGAGCTTCACTCTCTTGCTTTTGTCATAAATGGTACTACCAACAGATCTCAGCAATGTGTGAAGGATGTTATTACAGACTTTGAAAACCTGTTTGCAAAAGACACTGTTGAGATCACAAATGTCCTTGCAACGCACTGTGATGATATGAATTCAGTGCAACAAGTCCTGACGGATATGGGGATCAAGTATTGCAAGTTGTACAACTTTCAAAATGATTGTATTTTCAATAAAGGCCAAGGCATGCTAGACAACCCCTTGCGTGCCGAGTTAGAACGCATAAAATGGGGGTATTTGATGAAAAAATATCAGGATTTTTTTGAAGATTTAAATGTAACCACACCAGTGAGTCTTTTAATGAGCAGGGAAGCGGCTACTGAAAAGAAGGAACTTGAGGTACAAGTAATTCAAATAAAGAATAACATAGAGCATAAAATCATTAAAGTGATAGAATATGAGAGCCAAAGAAAGTTATACGACGAGTATGAGACATGCATGGAAAGCAACAAGGTATTTGAAGGAACAGAAACAGTCTCTCAAAAACAGAACGTTTCCATTGGAGGTATATTCACTCATGCCCACAACTGTAAAAGATGTAATAGGACGTGTATCTTCCCCTGTTATACAGTAGAAATCTTAGCAGCCTGTTTCGCATTCTATGGTAAATGTGAAGTCTGCCAGTGCAGCCTGTGGGAACATCATGAGCGAAAGGACATAAGAATAGTAGAAATTTTCGAAACCAAAACAGTTACTCATGAAGAAATGAAAAAAAGATACGAAGATGCCATGAGCAAGGTCAGTGACATCAGTGAAGTGATGAATGGGCTGAAAAAACAAATAGAAGAAGCTTTCT